TTCCCTTTTAATTTATAAATTTTAAAATTAAGTATGCCAATAAGTGTAAATCAAGTATAAAGAAAACCAGTACAAGTACAAAAAATGAAATAGACGTCTCTTCTATAATTTATAGTTAGCATTTATAAACCTCCCACTAGCAGGCACAAGATTGCTAGTGTATAATCCCACAAGTAGGATAATAAGTATACTAAGATTGAATCGGTCGACATGTGCTAGCGTTTATAAATCTCCCACTAGTGGAAACAAGTAAAACATGACTATATTGGAGACTAGGGGTGTTCATATCCGATCCAATCCAATTAATCCGACCTAAACTGATCCGATCCAATAAAAAATCGATCCAAACCAATATAAAATTGAGTTGGTTTGAATTCTAAAATTTTAAAACCGATATAATTGGTTTGGTTCGTGGTTTTATCTTCAAACCGCCTGAACTATCCGATTACAAAATAAAATCCGATTAAAAGATAATTTAAGTAAATAATATAACATATTTTTTGTAGTATTTTAAATTTTCTTTTTCTTATTTTACAAGATTATAACTCCATTAACTTAATTAAAAAAAATAAGAATAGAATATCTCCATATTCCCTAAGTTATTTCTCTATTTTAATCGTACACTCTAACTTTAATTCTAAATTTTTAATTCACCTGCAACTCTATCCTCTTAAAACTGGTTTGCGCCTTTACTCTTAGCATCCTAAATTTCTAATTTATTCTTAAAATAATCTTATGATTTTCCTAACTAAGTTTTAAATAAGTATTATTCTAAAAGCCTTAAAACCATATAATAAAATTAGTTTTAATATTCAACTATTCTTAGATATTTGGTTTAAAAGTTTTAAATTTTGATTTTGAATGCTTCTAATTAATTTTATTAATATTCATGTTAAATGTTATTCACTTTTAACAAGATTTAGAAAATGTGATTAAATTATTAGTGTATTAAAAAAAATTAATTTTAATCTTCAAGAGTTATTTACGCTGTGCTAAAAATTTAAAATTATTTTTTATTGTTTTTGGTGTCTCTAGTAATATAACGAAGAAGAATTTTAAGAGCTTTTCAATTTTTACAAATGTAGAAGAGTATAAGAATTCGTTTATAATTTTTACCTTTTATTATATTTTTACTAATTTGAATGTTAATATATTTTATAATTATACTTTCTATTTGATATTAAAATATTTTTATATTATATTATATATTTAATAATATTAAAAACCGATCAATCCGACCAAACCACACCGATCCAATTTAAATTGTATCGGTGTGGTTATCACATAATAATGGATTGGATTTGTTTAAAAATTTTATTAACCGATTAAATTGGATTGGTTTAAAAAATAGTAAAATCCAAACCAAACCACACCGCGAACACACCTATTGGAGACTAAAATAGGCTAGCAAGTACAATTCAAGTAAACATGATTATTTAAAAAAAAACATGTATCATAGGGATCAAGCAGCATGCATGTGTTAAGAACTTTCTATAAATAGACTTGCTTAACCAATTAAAATCCAACTTAAATTAAAATGAGATTTAGTCATGGTAACTAAACCAAAACAGGTTCTTAATCCCATCACCATCTCAAACTCGATAAAAATCATGTTTTAAAATTATATTTTAAAACCAAGGGCAAAACCATAAATTCACTTACTTCACTTTGTAGAGAATCAGATTTCACAGGAACCAAAAGTTGCAGAATTGAGTCTAGGATTTCAAAATTGGACACCAGATAGCAAGGATTTGGTAGGAAGTTCTAATCATGTTATGAACCAGAGATTGCAACTAAATTCATGCCTTGAAATCAATGGAGTTGGGCAAAATGATCAAGGATAAATGCCTTATCTCTTAGCTTTTGATAGCTTCAAGAATCACCTCAATCCAACATTTACAAAGAAAGTTATGGTTAGAATGCTAATACAAGGTTGGGCTACCAGTTCTGTTTACCTTCAAGAACTGAAACTTGCAATAGAATTTTCACCTTAATAACAACTAAACTAGGTTAAAACGTCAACAAATAAATTGTATGGCTTATCTCTTAACTTTTCATAGAATCAAGAATTGACTTAATCTGATGGCTACAGAAAGAGTTATGACAGAATAGTACCGCAAAGTCATGTTGTCAGAATTTAAGCCAATTCACCTTTGCGTCTCAAGTCAGGAAATTAACAGAAGATAAGGCTTGATCTAAAGAAGATTTCAACACCAAACCTATGAAGATTTACAAGAAAATGAAGGAGAAAGATACAGCCCCTTGTACTCACCAAAAACAAGGCAGAAACAAGCCCAAAACAACATGCGTCACACCTGGAATAGCAGCAGATTAGAGAACTCAAAATGTTTCTTACACAATTCAAATCAACGGCTATTGATCTACATCAAATATCTGGGCTAACACCATGGTAAAAATCAAGGTACACAGAGCACACTTTCTGGTGCAAAAACAGTAGCCAGTTCACTCGACATGACAAGAACTTTTTTAACAGATATTTAAGGACTATAGGAGGAGAAATGGGGGCTGGGTCTTTCAAGAGAGGTGGGCAGCAGCTATAGTAGATTTTATAAGGGGATTTAGGGTTGGGTGGTAGACATAAAGTCTGCAGGCCATCATGGCCGCCCTTTTTTTAATAGGAATAATTTCTCCAATTAAATTCTTGTATCAAATCCTTGATTCAATTAAAATTTAAAATCATAAATCCCCATAATTGGCAATTAATTCCAGCCATTAATTAAGTTTTGCACATTTAATTATATTGATCTCCAAAAATTAGGGAAAATATGCAGGTTATTACATGTCAACTTTATTTTCATTAGTTATTTGGTTTGCAAGCTGAATTCTATTTTTGGTGATGTTGTGCTGCTTATATCATTATCAGTGGAAGGACTTCTCCGCCCACCAAATACAGTCAAGCCTAAACCTGTCTAGTTTGATGAACTTAGCGAGCAGTTGGTGTTTGGTGAGGCTTCAACAGAGACTTCAACATCACCTATAATTTGAATACCATCAATACTTCTTTCTTTTAGTTCACTCTGTTTAAAGGTATGAGAAGGCAGGTCTTTCCTGTCAAAGTTTCTCAACACTTGAAGGATTCTTTTGAAGACCGAATTTCTAACGACGCACAAGACATTCCTTTGCTGATATAGAAACTCCGCTATGAAGATGATAAAAGCTAATACTCCGGAAACTCCGGTAATAAGGAAGAGGCCCCAAAAGCTTCCCAGACTCAAACTATTAGAAGAAAATGGGGTACTTAAATCGGGACAGTTGGTTTGTTTTGGAAACCATCTATTTTCAATTTCCTTCGTTTTATCACCTTCTGTGACTTTTAAATATTGCCTTCGACACATCTGATACAAGAGGGGAACCTTTTGGGAAGACCTAGAAATCAAAATTTTACATTAACTTAATCAAGATTAATGTCTATGATGGTATGAGGGAAAGAGAGATATTAAGACAGAACTTACAAATCCAAAACCATCTGTCCTAAAAGTTGGTTCCGCGCTGGCCACACTGGTGTATTTGTTGCAATATTTTTCAAGAAATAGCTTCACGTATGGAATTTCGTCAAAAGCAGTTGCAGTTCCACCATTGGCACTTCCCTTGGTAAAGAGTTCATTGAGATCTTCCGATGTTTTAAATATCTTCATCTTGGATTGATCGAATTTCAACCCCTGGAGTATTCCCTGGACGAAGGAACCATCTTGGTACCCAACATTCTCCCTTTTCCTTAACAGCTCATTCACGTCAGTGACCGTAGGCTGCAGCTGTTGGACTGTTTTAAGAGAAGCTGAATCAGCATTGTATCTCTTTGAGAGAATGAGAACCACAAAGCACCATATCAACACCACAAACCTCGTCCAATTACTCACCACCCTTTCCCCTGAAAACATAAATCAGAATTAGCTTTCATGATTTATTAATTTCTGTTTTGAAATAGGAGAGTGTGATAGAACTAAGTGGTGACTGGTGAGCATAAAATCTCAGACTCAAATTTGAGCTTGAGTAGCTCCATTCCACAACCTCCAAAGAGATTAAATAAGTTAAAGGACCATTACGGTGCGCAAAAACCAAGGTCGAGAAGGAGAACCAAAAGCTAGTTCCAATATAATGCAAAGGTTGTCCACGAAAATTCTCATTGATTCTATGCTCAAGAACCCAGACGATAAACCCAATGGAGATGAAGAAGCAACCACTGGTGACCCAAAGATCCCAGGTCAAAGGCTGCAAGAACACCCATGCATTCTTTTTTGACCCAACTCTGATAAGAACCACCATTACCACTCCAGATTCTGTGAACGGTAAGGCGAAGTCGACGTAAAATGACCTGTGATGGAAATGTCTCCCACCACTGCATCATGGTTCTGTTCAACAAAGTGTTTGTCAACCAAGAAATACATAAGAAATACAAACTACCGAAAGAAAGTGAAAAGTAAACTCTTAATGGGTTATTTATTATTTACTCCATAAACAACTTGATCAATCAGGTCATTATACGTTCCAGCCATCTCCTTGTCAGCCTTTTCAAAGGCATAGAAATCAAAAGGAACGGTGTATGGCAATAATTCCATGATAGCATTGAAGGCATCTATGCAAAACCAGTGGGGATGACTGTAGAATTGAGATGTGTACTGGGCGGAATCTTGACAAATTCACTAAATCCAGTCACCACTGGTACTTCAATCTTTAATCTCTTCCCTTTCATGGGATTCTCCCATCCTTTAGGAACGAAATGTGAATCCTCTGGCCATATTATTGTTCCAACATTGACCTTAGAAGTGGAATATCCTTTTACATTTGTAAAATCCAGTCTTTTAACCAGTCCATACTTTGACGTCCAGAACCAATTCCTTTTCACCATTTCCATTTACATTAATAATCCGAAAATTTGGGCAATCAAGTTGCCCATTAATAAACCCAACTTCTCCACTGAGTCCCTTAAATCTCATACTTGACAAAGCCTGGATGAGTTTGGGACAATTTTGTGAAACCCTGAAAGATTGAAGATCTGTTCTTGCTGTTTTTGAAACGTTTGATGCATCAAAGCTAAAATTTGTTGTGCCAAGTTTCTCCACTGCCATATGGCTAGTGCATATGTGCAAATGTAGCATCATAAGCCCATAATCCAAAAATGTCCAATTCAACATTCACCATACTAGGATTATCTTGCACAAATTTCCTTTTCCATCGTACCTCAAAATTTTTTAACTCTTTTGATATCGGAACATTATTCCTTACACCTAATACCCCCTGCAAGGAATCCATATCAGAACGATCAATCATACTCCAAAGATTAGTCATCCCATTAGTTATTATCCAAACATATCCTTCAATTATCATTCCAATCTCTTTTGCAATGTCAAAAACTGGGACCCAAGATCTGGCCATGTGAACAATGAACATTCTACACTGCTTTGATATTAACTTGTATAGTTCCCTTCTAATTTCCTCATCGGTGGCGCTAAGAGGGATAACACTTTTGTAAGGAATCTGAGCATTAACCTCTTCCAAACCCTCGGATAAGTAAGGTACAATCCGTTCTTCAAACTCACTGTTTGCAGATACAGGCACAGCTTCTCTTCATTTGAAGGCTTGAACAATGGCACTAATGGCTCTGACTTGAGATGAGTCATTCTGCTGGGTTGCTTGAAAAAAGTATTGACTCCTCAGGAAGGAAAGGAAAGGACTCGTTGCATAGAAAGAGATGATGCTTGAGATTTCTTTCCGAGGTCTATCATGATGATCGCCTGCATTGAATTTCTTGGTCCTATGATGGCTTGCACTTGGACATTCTTAATCAAGTCCTGAGCTGCTCATCAAAAGAAAATTTCAACTTAGTTTAAATGATGCCATTTTCAAATGTTAAAATTACATATTAAATTGATCGGAGATTTATAAGAAATCCGCGGTGTTTTATTTTTTGGCCGACGAAGTCCGCAGTGTTTCATTTTTGATCATCGAATTCCACAGTTATTCAACCAGCAATCATTTTTGGTGTCAAAAATAGATTGAATTTAAGATACTCTACTCATTTGCAAGGTAGGGAATTAAAAAAATTTGAGTAATATGCTATACTATGTGCAATAAGTGGAGATAACTAGTTCTGTTACACATGTAGAAATAAAAAATATTCACTTAACTATGGAGGAGCCTTCTGATTGGGTTAGAGCACCTACAACGCCATTCTATTTCGTTGTTCTTTTTCCAAATTAAAACAGAAATAGAGTTTTACCTCGTTAGAGAAGAGTTCTAAAATAGGAAATGTTCCTTGCATGGAACAAGTACTTTTAATATTTTAACATTTTAAAATAATAAAATATTAAAAAGTAAACTCGAAAGTGCTGGCACCGAAGCCGCACTCTTTAACATGCAACATTTCTTTGTTTTTTTAATTTTTAGTTCAAATTTTGCTTTATTTAGGGAAGGCAAAAACCCATCTTAAGACCCTCAACTTTCTTGACAGCAAGTGATAAGCCCCTGAACTAAAAAAGTGACAAATAAGCCCTCCAACCCCACGATGGGTGCAAATCAGCCCTGCCTCTAACCGGCTTCCTGACGCCGTTTGTCATCGGCTTACGTGGCACTGCACCTGCACGCCTTTGCGTTTTTTTGTTTGCTTTTACTTCATTTTTTTTTGGTACAATGCTTTTACTTCATTTATTTTTAATAATA